CTGGAGCACAGGCCATAGCAGCGGCCGGGGCTTGTGAGGCCCCCATAGGCCGAGCTCAGACCAGCGGAATAGCGGCTGGTGGTCTTGGTACGGATACTCATGTTCTGCATCCCAGACTGCAGCCGGCTCTCCTCACCCTCCAGCAGCTTCCTGTAGGTGGCGATCTCGATGATCAGGGCCAGCTTGACGTTCATCAGCTCCTGGTACTCACGCAGCTGCAGCGCCATGTCCTGCTTGGCCCGCTGCAGGGCAGCCTCCAGCTCAGACAGCTTGGCGTTGGCATCCTTAACCTCCAGCTCCCCATGCTGCTCCGCATCTGCGATGCCGGCCTCCAGGGAAGCCCATTAGCCTTTGAGGCCCTCAATCTCAGCCTGGAGCCGGCCGATGTTCCGGTTCACCTCGGAGATCTCAGTCTTTGTAGCCGCAGGGCATCCCCGTGCTTCCCAGCCAGCGTCTGCAGCTCCTCATACTTCATCTGGTGCATGCTCTCTGCCTCAGTGCGGCTGCGGTTGGCGATCTCCTGGTACTGCGCCTTGATCTCAGTGGTGATGTTGTCCGTGTCCAGGGAGCGGTGTCTGAGATCTGGGACTGCAGCTCCAGGGTCTCCTCTTCGTACAGCTGCCTGAGGAAGTTGATCTCGTCAGTCAGCCCTTCCAGGCGAGACTCCAGCTCTACCTTGTTCATGTAAGCTTCATCCACATCCTTTTGGATGAGGACAAATGCATACTCCATCTCCACTGGCTTATTGATCTCATCCTGTACTTGTTCTTGAAGTGTCCCACCAGCCCCTGCATATTACAAAGCTCCACCTCCAGTTTCAGCTTCTTTTGGTCCAGAGTCTCCAGCTGCCGCCTAAGGTTGTTGCTGTAGCTCTCGAAAATGTTGTCCATGTTGCTCGGAGCCATCTGCTGCTGCTGCAGGAGGCTCCACTTGGTCTCCAGCATCTTGTGCTGCTGCTTCAGGAACCCTACCTTGTCGATGAAGGAGGCAAACTTGTTGTTGAAGGTCTTGATACGATCCTTCTCCTGGGTGCACATGGCCTGGATGTTGGGGTCCACTTCAAGGTTAAGGGGGCTCAGCAGGCTCTGGTTGACCATGACGGCAGTGATGCCTCCCATGCTACTGGTCCCACCATGGCCTCTGCCTAGGCCAGCCCAGAAGCTGCTGCTGCCCACTTAGGAGAAGCTCGAGGAGTTAATGCAGGCACCCAGCCCACTCTTGTGGGAGAAGCTGCTGAAGGCCTGGGGGCCAGAGGTGAACACCTTGTAGGACTTCTGGGTCACCCTAAGGGACATGGTAGGGTGGAGTGGGGAGGAGTGGAGGCAGGCAGGCTGAATCAGGTGGAGATTCTAAAAGTAACAGAGAAGCAGCTTCTTCGTTGTAATTACCAGTTAATTCTCAGGCTACTTTAACTCTTAAACCAAAACCAAACAAAAATTGTTACAAAAAAGGAAAACTATAAACAGTACCCAGAAGCATACCTCGAAAAGTTTTTTAAAAAATTATAGCAAAAGACTCCAAAATGTATAAAAAGAATAATATATCATCACAAACTAGAGTTTATTTCAGGAATGGTTGGGTTATCATTCAATATTCAATCAATTTAATTCCTTATATAATATGTGTGTGTGTGTGTGTGTGTGTGTCTGAGATCTGGGACTGCAGTTCCTGGATCTCGGACACACACATATGTATGGGTGCATATAATGCATATACATGCACACATATATTCACGCATATATATGAGTGTGTGTATGTGTATATTATATTATTTATATATATTATATATAATACATCTATATATATATATAGATGTGTGTGTGTATGAGTGTGCGTATATATGTATATGTGACATACGCACACCACACACACTCATATATACACACAAAAAAACTTCTAGTGGAACTAATAGGTGACTTTAGCAATGTTTTAGCAAACAATGTCAACAAACAAATCATTAGCAGCGAGCAATCAGAAAATTAAATTTTTTTAAAGATTATTTTGTATAATAGAATCCAAAATATAAAGCACTCAGAAATGCATGGGCAAAAGAACTGCAAAGATTGTACAATGAAAACGGCAAAACTTATTGAAGTAAATTAAAGCCCTAAATAAATGGAAAATTATGCTATTTTCATAGACCAGAAGGCTCAGTATTAAAAATATGTCAATTCTTCATAAATTGAGCTATACATTCAAAGCAATCTTGATGAAATTCCATCAAATCTTTTTGGGTAAAACTTGGAAAGTTGATTCTAAAAATTTCACAGAAATACAAAATATCCATACATTTTAAGGCTAAATAACTTAAAAAATAATAAAATTGGAGGTCCTATACTGACTTCAAGTTATATTATGTATTCTACACTATCAATGTACTATGGTATTGCTATTGATAGACAAATGATAGATAGAACAGAAGAGGATCCAGTAAAAGACCCACAGCTATACAGCCAATTGTCTTTAGAAAAAAGGCAAAAACAATTCAGTGGAAGAAAAATTTTCTGTTTAACAAATAATTCTACAGCGATTAGATGCATGAGTATATTAGTTTGCTAGGGTAGCCGTAACAAATTACCACATATTGGATGGCTTGTTAAACAGAAATTTCTTGTCTAAGAGTTCTGGATGCTAGAGTCTGAATCAAGGTGTCAGCAGGGTTTGTTCCTTCTAAGGACTGTGAGAAAGATTCTATTTCATGTCTCTCTCCTATCTTTTGGTGGTTTGTTGGCAATCTTTAGCATTCCTTGGCATTACCTCAAACATTGCCTTTATGTCCACATAGTCCTCTGTGTGTGTGTGTGTGTGTCTCTGTGTTTAAATTTCCTGTTTTTATAAGGTTGCCAGTCACATTAATAACCTGTTAGTCATTCTAATAATCTTGTCTTTACTTGATCATCTGCAAAGACCCTGTATTCAAATAAGGTCATTTTCACAGGTACCACAAATAATGAGGATTAAGACTTCAACATATTTAGAAGGGATACAATTCAACCTGTAACAATGTGCAGAAAAATGAACTTTGATGCATATACAAAATAGACTCAAATGGATATACAAAAATGGACTCAAATGGATCAGAGATCTCAATGTAAAACCCAAAAGTATAAAACTTCCAAAAGTATAGAGAAAATTATTGTGACGTTGGCTTAAGCAAAGATTCTTAAATATAACACCAAAAGCACTATTCAGTAAAGAAAAAACTACACTTCATCAAAATTAACAACGTTTGCTCTTCAAAATTGTTAAAAGACTGAAAAAAAATGTCAAGTCAAAGACATGGAAAAAAATATTTGCTAGTTATATATCTAAAACAAGACTTATCCAGAATAGATAAACTACTCTCAAAAGTTAATATGAAACCAAATAACCCAATTAAAAATGGCCAATTATTTAACACACACTTCACTAAAACAGATATATTGATGACAAGCACATGAAAAGATGCTTAGCATCATTATTTCCAAGGAAAATGCAAATTAAAACCACCATGAAATACTAATATACACCTATTGAAATGTCTAAAATTAAAAAGTCCTATCATTTCAGCTGTGCATCTGGAACATGTGAAACTGTCATATATTGCTGGAGGGAATACAAAATGGTACAATCACTTTAGAAAACTGTTTGGCAGCTTCTTTAAAAATGAAGTGTATGCCTGCTATGTGATTTTACCTTTATCTAAAGGTATTTTCCAAAAGAAATGAAAGTATATTTCCATACAAAGACTTGTACACAAATGTTCTTTGCAGCTTTATTTGTAAAAACCAAAGACTGGAAACAACTCAAATGTCAGTGAACCAGTGGATAAATAAATTGTAGTGCATCTATAAAGCAGAATACTACTAAACTATAAAAAGAAATGAATTACTGGTACTGTTATTAGTCTGTTTTCATACTGCTATAAAGATACTACCTCAGACTAGGTAATTTATAAAGGAAAGAGGTTTAATTGACTCACAGTTCTGCAAGGCTAGGGATGTCTCAGGAAACTTAACAGTCATGGTGGAAGGCAAAGAAGAAGCAGGTACGTTCTTCAGAAGGTGGCAGAAAAGAGAGAAAAGCCCAGGGGAAACTGCCACTTATAAAGCCATCAAATCTTATGAGAACTCACTCACTATCATGAGAACAGCATGGGGGACACTGACTCCATGATCCAATTTCCTCCTAGCAGATCTCTCCCTGGACATGTGGGGATTATGGGTATTACAATTTGAGATGAGATTTGGGTGGGGACACAGCCAAACCATGTCAGGTACATACAATAATATGAATAGATCATGAGTGAAATAAGCCAGGTTACCCTATGTCTCCATTTATATAAAATTCCAGAAAATGCAAACTCACCTATTATGCTAAAAAGTGGCTACATAGTTGCCTGAGAATGGGGGTTCAGAGAAGAGTGAGAAAAAGGGATTACTGAGAAGTGTAAGAAAACTATTGGGTGCTAAAGCTTATGTTTATTATCTTGATTGTGGTGGTGGTTTAATGGGTTGCATGTATATTAAACTATCAAACCATACATTTCAAGTGAGCTCATTGTGTAAATTATACCTCACTAAAACTGTTAACAAACAAACAAAACAGAGTTTCCGACTATAAGGGGTCAAAATGATACCTCAAAATATGGTACTTTGACATGCTGAACTAAAGAAGCAGCCTCAAGATCTCTCTGACTTCCCTCACCTCTTTTCCTCCTGTTTCTGAACCCTCTGTTTCTCCCCAAGCACAGGATATGCTTGAAATATCCCTTATCTGAAATTCTCTTATCTACCTCAAAACTGCACCTGCCAAAGAGGAACACAAATGCCTTTGATCCCATCCCTAAAATTTCATTATCCAGAGAAGATTAAATTTAATACCACAGAGAACAAGACTGAACACTAAACAGCACATCTAGAGCTCAAACTATTGTTTGTTTTCATGTCTTATTCACTTTGCAAAGAGAATTCTTTGCAAGCTGATTTCTGTCTCCTGCGGCCATTCATCTCTCCTAAAATCCTTTACTAATGTTCTAAAATTGCCTATAGCCCTCCAATTTTGTCTCAGTTCTGAAGAGGGTGTTTAAGCTTCCACCATTCATCCAACAGCCTTCTTGGAGTCTCATATTGTGTGTATGGCTCCCACATGTGTGCTCATTGATGAATTGTATGCTTTTCTCCTGTTACTCAGTTTATTGTTAATTCATTTAAAAGGATTTATACTTGAACCTTCAGAGGTAAACTTTGAATTTCCCTATAAGACTGGAGTAGTTATGCTTTAGTTTAAATCTCTGCTCTTTCTCTGCTAGCTGTGTGACCTGAAAAATTATTTAACCTTTTTGTGTCTCAGTTTTCTTGTCCTCAATGTGGTTAATACTCAAGGTACTTAATTAGGCTTTTTGAAGCTTAAATAAATTACTACATGCAATCTGCTCAGCATAGTGCCTAGTAAATAATAAATTTTAATAAATATTGTTGTTTCCATTGGTATCATCATCAGCCTCAGCAGCACCAGCAGCCTGGATTCAGAGCATACAACTCCAAAAACAAGGAATTTTCTCTTTTTTCCAACTGTGACAAGAATTATAAGTGTTATAATTATAATAATTTACAACATTATTTCTTCTAGTCCCTGTGACTTGATTAAAATGTTGTGTTATCAATGCAACCCAAGTTTAGTCCTATTTGATTTGAAACTGAGAGAGCATAAGGGAGTTCTTTCAGATCTCACACAACCAGGCCAACAAGTGAAAAAATGGGCTATGGTGTTGGCTAACCTGATCAGTCCTGGCAATCAAAGGAAAATAAGGTAATTACATTAAAATAAATTAAGGGATTAGAAAAAAAAGAAAAAGGTAAATTGGTGTACCATAAGTTGTCTTCTTCTACCACCCAGGCTGATGGTAGAAGTTGTTGGAAGACTCTTGGAACAAAATCAACGAAATGAGTAAGGACTAAATATTTTCAGGAAAAGAGGTTTTGGATACTACATTGGCAATCAAAGGCAAGAACAACAAACAGAAGTGGAAAATGAAGTGATAAATATCATTTAATAGTTTTATGTTAAGTTTTGGAAGCAAAGAATTGAGTTCTAATCATATTCCTTCATTCTGCAGAACAAATTTATCGAAGTAGCACATATAACACACATATGGTTAAAAGAAGTACATATATTAAATGTGCAGATTGATGTAATCTAAAAAATTAAACACATCTGCATAATCATGAGAAGTTCAAGATGTAGAATTTTATCAGCACCCCAGAAGTCTCCCGTGGCTCCTATTCAATGAACCCTGTCAATTTTAATTATCCTTCCAATTTTAATCACTTTAGATTAGTTTGGGTTGTTTTTGGACTTGATATAAAATACAAATTTAGAAACAATACTCTCGTGTATCTGGTTTTATTTACAAACAGTACTCTTTTATGTTTGACTTCATATGCTCAACTACATTTGTATCTCTTATTTTTACTTCATTACTATGGCTACTTTTCAGACTAATCATTTATCTTTAATTTCTGACAGCTTTACTATGATATGCTTAGGTATGATTTTCTGTACTTAGGATTTGTAGAACATTTCAAAACTATGACTTGACATTTTGCTGCTAGTCTTGGAAACTTTGCAGCTATTATCCCTGCAACTGCCATTACCTTTTTTTTTTTTTACTATTTTCACTCTCCTCAAACTCCTGCCTAATTATATATGCAGAGACACACACACCTTGTCATTGCGTCCATGTATCTCTTTTGGGCTCTCTTTTTAATTATTACTTTCCAACATTTATTCTTCTTTATCCTGAACTCTAGATGTTTTGACTGATTTTTCAATTCACTAATCCTCTCTTCTGCTGTGTTTAATCTACTATTATAACCATCCATCCATTATATTGCCAATTTTATTATTAACATCATAACTATGTTTGCTTTTTAATAGGTCTTAGTTTTTTGTGGATTTCCTTGATTATAAAATTTATAGTTTTTCTTGCAAGTCTGGATCTAATAATGCCAATATTTGGATCACCTGTTGGCCTTTTTCTCTAGGGATGTGTGTGTGTGTGTGTGTGTGTGTGTGTGTGTGTGTGTAAGATTGCTTTTTTCTGTCATGTTTGATAATTTGTTTATTGAATTATGGACAGTCTAAAAATAGTTTTATGACTACTGTTCCTTTCTTTATAAAGTATTTATTTGTGTCTGGTAAGTAGATAGATATTAAGTAAATTACATTAATCTATTTGAGGATAATCTATTTCTGGTTTGCCCTTCTCCTAGGGTGTAGCCTTTCCAGTGTTTCGTCTGCATGCCTGGGTTCTTACTAGATTTGGTGAACTCTTTAGTATCAGGAGATAATGTTTTTTTTTTTAATTGTTTACTCTGCTTCTCCTTTTAGCCTCTTAGTGGCTGCTTTCTGCTTTTTCTATATCATTCTGCACATTTGCAATTTAAATATTGGCAATTACCTTCAGGGAAAATTGATGGCACCATATTGAGCTCACTTCAGTGCATTTTACTTCTCTCCAAGATCTTCACTTCTCAAGTCCCTGCACCTTTAGGTTTTTGCTGATGCTTTCAATCTGTGACTGAAAGCATTTTAGCTAACATGTATGGTCATTCTCTATGGGCATGTTAGTTTAAATCAAACACTTCCCATGATCATTGGTAAATGTAACATATACATTTACATAGTTCAAGTAATTTCCATATTGCCCGACTACCTCTTCAAATACAGTGTGTGGGGCATGTTGGTATTAATTCTTAACTATATACCATTTAGTCTGGAGCAGCTCTTTCCAATATAAATATCGTTTGACTCACACATGTAATTTCAAAATTTCAGGTACTCATGCTAAATAAGTAAAACACAACAAGTAAAATTACACGTAATAATGTATTTTATTTAATTAAAATTATATTTTAAGCATTACCATTTAAACATATATGTCTTCAAAATGCTGTATATTTAACAACGCTCATCTCAATTCATACTGGCCCCACTTCTAGTGCTTAAGAGCCACTCTTGTGACTTGTACCTATCATATGGAAAAATGTAGGTCTAAGGTTGCAAAATATTCAAAGGAGATGTGACAGAACCAAAGGACACATGTACATTACATGATGATACTGATTTGAAGACTTGGATTGTCTCCTTTTGGGAAACAGATGGGTCTCTATTTAGCTTTACAAAGAATATTTTTATCATGTTATGTGGAAAAATATGTGGGCAGAATCTTTTTAATGGCTCAGCATCAATTGCTCCATCCTGTTTTGGAGAAATAACCCAAATTCTGTGATTCAGTGGAGGGTACCATTGAGGTTACTGAATGTCAAAGGACAAAAAAATTGTCTTTCTGCACCCTGAAATTCAAGATTCAGACACGTAACTGAGGCTGGGCCAATCATACATATCTTCCAAGGACTCAGTAAATTAAATACAGAAATGTGGAAATGTTATATAATATTCCCAGAAGTGATCTTGAGAGAGGCAAAAGAGAGGCTCAGCAGTGACTTTGTGCCTGCAGTGTCATTCTAACCAGACAATTTATGGGTTATAAGATGTCACTATATTGCTGTTTCCTATCTTACTTTGTTCTTGCAGGTGTTCCAGGCCTTTCAATGAATCCCTGATTTCCAGGGGTTTTGTAGACTACCGATTTCACCTTTTATTTTATTACTACCTTGTAGTAAAGTGCAAAAATTTAGGAGCCAAATGGCCTGAGTCTGAATCTTGACTTTCCTATTCAACAGCTTCCAGGACTTAGACTCATTATTTTACATTTTTTTTCTCGGTTTCTTCACCTATCAAGTAGCAATGATAATTTTACCTACTTCCTGGGTTGTTACAAAAGCTCAATGAAATAATCCGTGCATAGTAAGTAGACATTTTATGCGCTTATTATGTACTCAACATCTACTTTCTGATAACTCAGATTTTCTTATTATTTATAAAATATGGAAGGTATGCTGTGTACCAGGTACACATAAAACAATACTTTTCACCAAAATCTAAAATTACCTTAATAAATCATAATAATAATTATTCCATATCCTTATAATTTTGGGAAGGAGATATGTATGGCCTGATGAAACCACTGCAATGGTCAATGTGTTATAAATTATTTGCCATTGAGTAATATGTTGTATTTACTTGTTGATGTTTTGTTTTGTTTTTTGAGACAGTCTCGCTCTGTCACCCAAGCTGGAGTATCGTGGTGTGATCTTGGCTCACTGCAATCTCCACTTCCTGAGTAGCTGGGGCCACAGGTGACCGCTTGGCTAACTTTTTCCATTTTTAGTAGAAATGGGGTTTTGCTATGTTGGCCAGTCTTGAACTCCTGACCTCAACTGATCTTCCCACCTCAGCCTCCCAAAGTTCTGGGATTATAGGCATGAGCCACTGCACCCAGCCTTGTTGGCTTTAAGTAGTACCAGGTATACAGCTTACCTCTCTAGCTTAAGGAGTATAGACAAAATGTCATAATACCTACAATAAACCTCAGATGTGGGCATTACTCTTTCCTTTTGGGGATAATGAAATTGATTCAGAGAAGTTAGGTAGTTTGCCTGCAATTGCACAGCTGATGTGCAACCAATTGTACGTGTTATTTGATTGTAAGTTTTGTTTTCCAAGATGAGGGTTACAATGCAATATTGGAAAACCCTTAATCAATAGACCTATAGTTCATAAAAGGATTCTGCCATTATTGGGAACATTCTTGATATTTGCAGAAAGGTAAGCCAAGCCTCAAAGAATGCATGCCTCATAAATTTATTTAATTTCACTGACATCACCACTTTCTTAATCTCTCATCTTCTCCAATTTTCCCATCTTTTCTCAAGTCTATGATCATAAATATTTCTATAACTATAAACAGCTCATTATTGAAATATCTTAGTCTAAGAGAATTCTGGAAATTTAGGTAAATTTTCAAGGAAAGAGTTGGGCTTGTCTTTCAAGAGAATGATTTCTAAGTTCTCGTTATTGCTGTGGCAGCCAATTTAAACAAAATATGGTTTATGATAAGTTTTATAAATGCTATCCCTAGTCTTTTCCAGGGGACTATGTGATAGATTCTGTCCACTTATATTGAAATTGTAACGAAGTGGAACTAAACTCTTCCAAAAATTCAAATAAAAGGCTATATATCTAAATTTCTACATTTTCTAATCCAGTATGTGTTAAATTTTCTTTTTCAACTACTTTTAAATGAGCAGAGGCTTCGAACCAGCTATGGAACTTTACTGGCCAAGGCTACCTCTGATAGCACTTTGACTTCTAATCATGAACATGTGTGAATTCTCTTCTTCCTTCTTAAATCATGCTTGAAGCTTCTCATCTTGCTTCTATTTCTATGGATCGCTTTGCCATTTATTTTTGGAAATGATTTATTTTAAACACAAAGAATTAACTTCTTTATCAGTCTCATTAATAAAAAGCATCTCTATGCTGTAGAAATACATTAGTCAGCCAATTTTAGCTGCTGTTTGCGTTTGCATAATGAGCTCATTGTGAAACATAATGTGCCAATCTAGTTATAGCAAAGCCTC